TTCCTCAGAATTCACTGGGTGTGAGTCATATTTATCTTTTAATTTTCAAAAGATCATTTTTCCTTATATTCATTGGAATGTAAAAAATAAATCCCTCTTCATCATCTACTCAAAATTCAGTGGTGTTTACATATATATATGTATATATACATATATATATATGTGGTACATATAGTATCTATTGAGCTAATTTTTTTCTAATAAATGGGATAGTGATATTAGATCATCTGCATGGGCTGTTAGCATTAGTTTTCTTTCAACTGGGATGGTGATTACTCAGGATCCAAGGTTTCAAAGTCAATTCTAGATATTCCTTTAGGCTGAGCTCTAAGTTTTGCTCTATAGCTTCAAACTCAGTGGATTAAAACCAATGTATTCATTCTGTGATAGTTTCTGTGCATTAGGAATCGGGGACTAGTTTCATCATATGCATGTACTGCAGTTAAACAAAGGCAGTCTGTGCCTGGTGAGGCTCCCAGGCTTCCTCACTGACTCCTTACAAGGAAGTACCGGTGGCTGTCAGCAGGGGGCCTTAGTTCCTCAGGCCCTTCCTCCGTTGTTGGCCTGCCTGAGTTCCATTAATATTTGGGCTGAATTGCTTTGTGATTTCATCGAACTACTCTGGAAAACTCTGCCGTCATTCCTTCCACACCATATACATCAGAAACCTGTCACTAAGGCTAGCCATTGACAAGGAAAAAGACAGCAAGCATGGAAGAATAGCAAAGACTTATAAGGCATATTAAAAACTAGTGCATAATGTTCTTTAAAAGCAATAGAACAGCCTATGCTCCCTACCCAGGTTATCTTCTCTACAGTTCTGACCTTTTAAAGGTCTCTGTAAATTCAGCTCCTACAAGAGTTTGCTCACAGCAGCATATATAAACCCATCTGTCTATGCCAGGGACCTGGTTTCCATCCTTGTTTCTCTGTCTTTTACCTTATGAGTTTAGCCATCAAATCTTATGGCTGCTATGTTCTTTAACATACACCTGATATGTTCTTTACTGTTACCATCTTAAAGGAATGATCTTTTTTCATTTGACTAATACAAATTAGCCTTCTATCCTGTGTTTCTTCTACATTCTTACGAAAGAAACTGCTTGGCAGAATTATTATTTTTAAAAATACATGAACAAAGCATAACGGAGGGAATGAACAATATATACAAATGTGGACTGTTCTGTTTTTTTTTTCCAATTATAAAAAACAGCACAGGATGTAGATACTATCTCCTGTTTTATGGACATTTATGTACAACCATTTTTTAAAGTCTATCACTGCACATGAAGAAAAAATAAAGTGCTTTATTTACCTCTCCTATTTAAGGTCCCATCTCCCACTGTGCTGACAAATGGTTTAGTTCATATGGTCTATGCAGTCCTAGAATAGACAGTACCCCATTGGTTGTGTTTCTCTAGTAAGTAAGAATCAGATTCCTTCAAAGGATCAGTGACCACTGAAAACTCCAACCTTGCTGCTCTATCCCTGTTCTCTTACTCAGTAGTCCACTCCTGTGCTGCTTACATATTACTGGTTCTGGTCTGTACACTGCTCCTGAAGTCTAGATTTATGACTCATTAATTGTGCAATACAAGTATTATTCTGACTTCCGTCACCCAGTGTGTGTAAAGCAGAACCACTTACATTACTTTAGGTAGTATCCTCAACTAACTAATCATCACTGGTCGTTCAATCTGTTTGGATTTTACATCTTATTGATGATCTTCTGCTAACCACCCACCATGCCGTATATAATACTTCTCTATTTGAAAGTCTCGGTTTTGTTCCTTAGAGTTATCCTGGAAAGTTTCTAAGTCCTACTTGGAACTCAGGAGACAATGTCTAAGTCCTATTTGGTCACTAGCTTCCAGCCGCCTGTCTCTCTATGTGTAGTTATTACACACATGGGTCCATTAGAGCATATACAAGCAGGCATCATTGATCAGCCCTGGTGTTAGTGGAGAGAACCCAAAGAGGGAACCACAAAAAATAGAGATTTTTAATAAAGGAATGCCTAAAGGTTCTAAAAAAAATAAGACAGTTATGAAAATGAGTTAATTATCATTAAACCTTATGCATAAGATATTTTTTAATTAGGTATATCTTTTGCATGGAATTTTTGACATATTCTGAGACTCTGGTCTCTGTCTCTCTCTCTCTCCCTTCACACGCATGCACATACACACATACAAACACACACAACCCCCACATGAGTATGTGCATGTGTTTACAAGTATGTGTGTGCATGTGTGTGTGTATGTATGTATATACATATATATATATATATATATATAGAGAGAGAGAGAGAGAGGAGAGAGAGAGATGGAGGAGGGAATGAAAAGAAAGGGAGGGAGGAGTTGAGAGAGAGAAAGAGATTCGTCCTTCACATTTTACTTGACTCTGCATCTGTCTGATGTTTGGATCATCATGATATTTTTGACAGTGACAACCCAGATTAAAGCTATGTCAATGTTTTGACAAAATTGACTGATGAGTTTAATCAGCCAAATTGTCCACTTAGTCCAACAAGATCTCTGTCGGCGTGAATTGCTTATGTGTTCTCTCTTTGTTAAATTAACTTGATTCCAACCTAACTACATCAGCACAATCTAGCCAGATAAATACGGCATTCAGACGACTTACAAACTGATTCTTCTTAAATAGCTAGACCAAGGTACAGGCGTAGCAAGGCATTCTAAAACTTAAATATTTAAATAAATTTCCTGAAAACAAGAACACCCATACGGTCCCATTTAAGAGACAAAAATCATGAACATAGATTCATGAACTGGAGTAAATTTTTTTATCATTCAGTCATTTCTTTCAGATTCAGATAAGAAAACTTGTCTCTATTTATGAGGATAGAATCTTAATAATATTAGAGAAGTATGAATGTTTGGACAGCTATATGAATTCCTGGATGGTAAACAGGGATGCTTTAATTTAGGAGAAGTAGATAACTGATTTTCTCCTTTATGACAATACCCTGACAAAATGTTGGCTCAAGACAAAGTAGGAAAATAACATTATAGTCAGACTCTCATGATGACAATAATTATGATGTCTGTGGTCAGTGTTTACAGTGCGCTACATTCGTGTGTGGGTGTCTGTGTGTCTGTGTGTGTATATGTGTGTGTGTCTCTCTGTGTGTCTGTGTGTGTGTATATATGTCTGTCTGTCTATGTGTAAGAGAAGGAAAATAGACAGAATATAGCTGAGATATGTTTCATGTTGGGAGGCAGCCATTCTGGAATCAAACGTAAAATGCAGGCGAAAGTACTTTTTATTATTTTTATTTTTTTTTTAATTTATTTTTAATTATGTGTAAATATGCATGCCTATTTCATTGTACATGTGCATAGTGTAGATGAACATAGCAGCCAAAAGAGGATATCAGATCCTCAGGATCTGCAGTAATAGGCAGTTAAGAGTTCTATGATGTGGGTTCTCGGAAGTAAACCCTCTAGGAGAGTAGGCTGTGTGCTTGACCTTTGTCTCATCTCTCTATCCCCAGCTAGAAGTACTTTAAGTGATCTGCTAAGAAGCTTTTTTTAAATAATATTTTTTATTGGATATTTTATTTACATTTCAGATGTTATGCCCTTTCCCCATTTCCTCCTCAACCCAGGATCTCCCAATCCCTTCTCCCCTTCCTTCTGCTTCTATGAGGATGTGACCCCACCCACCCACCCACTCCTACCTCCCCGCCCTCGAATTCCCCCACACTGGGGCATCCAGCCGTCACAGGACCAAGGACTTCCTCTCCCACCTGTGCCCCCCAAGGCCATCCTCCACTACATCTACAGCTGGAGCCATGGTTCTCTCCCTTTGTGCTCCCAGGCTGGTGATTTAGATCCTGCTTAGCAGTTTTAAAGGGAGTCTATGATACAAGCAGAAATAAGAGAGAAGTTACGTCATTCTAAATTTTAAAATAATAGACGTTTTCAAAAGAAATCACTATTTCTAAAGTCAAAACGGCCATCACATTTAGCTTCTTCTGCTCTTCCTTTCGTATCTCTGCCTCTCCTCATCACCCTCTCGTCCACATTTCATACTTAGAAAAAGAACAACAACAAAAAAAACCCCATAGATTGTAAATACTTATTTTTATGGATGGACACATTAGGGAATTAACTAACTGTGCAAATTTAATCTGTCCCTTACATAAAAATATTTAAAAATCTACTTATTTCACAGTTGGAAAATGCTTCAATTATAATTTCAATGATATGTTTTAAGAAAAACTTGGTTAGCTTTCATGACATTTAAACATTTGACTTTCTTCCAGTGATGTACTGGCAAGGAAAGGGAAAATGTTAATATCAACATAAAAAGGATAGATATCTCCTGTAGCAAAATTAAGTATATATGTGTACCAATCATTTAAAATGTGAGAACCAGAACATTAGCTTGTAATAACCATAAAGAATAAATATGGATTTTTCTTAACATTGCAAGATTTTTACAACAATTTACCTTGTACAAACTTAGGCAAGTAATCACAAAACGAAATAAGATATTCAATTAAACTAAACACATGATGCCGTTGTTTATTTATTAATTTGGTTAAATATCAATAAGTTGATTACGTTTAATTTTGAAATGAAGTTAATTGATTAATTTAATTTTGAAATTAAATTAATTGATTAATTTTGAAAATTGATTACATTTAAGTTTAATGTGGTATTGGTTATACATTTTTATTGTTTTTAAAAAGTTATCTACATTTGACATGCATCTCCTGAAAACATCAATTTCATTTTTAAAAGTTCAGAATAAGTTTTTGGCAGCTTAGACTTTTAAGAAGTTGTTATACTTCGATCGGGAGAAATTGTCATTTGTTATTACTGGAAAGAAAAATATCCCATATTACTTAAAACTATATTTCCTTGCTATTTTAGCCCCTGTCCTAGTTAACACAGGTGCTGTAAAAGCAAATATGTGTAATGTCCTTGGATATACAGTGATGACGGTGTCTTTTTTACCTCTTCCTGTAGCTTTCAGCCGCGCCCCAATTCCCATGGCAGTGGTCCGCAGAGAGCTCTCCTGTGAGAGCTACCCCATTGAGCTCCGCTGTCCCGGCACAGACGTCATCATGATCGAGAGCGCCAACTACGGGAGGACAGATGACAAGATCTGTGACTCGGACCCTGCTCAGATGGAGAATATTCGGTGTTATCTGCCAGATGCCTATAAGATTATGTCTCAAAGGTACGGTGCCCCCAGACCTCTTCCTTGCACGGGTATCAAAGTATCAAAATCAGTGAAAATTGGCTTGATAGACAACGTGGATAAGGTTTTTGAAGGTGGTCGTCTGTGTTTTAGAAGAGTTTCAACTGTAGACCACACTCGGTAAAACCAGAGTGGCAGTGTTACAATCCGCACCATGGCGCTAGGACAACAGAAAGCTCAGTAGCGTTATTAGTAAGTTTCATGATGCAGTCTGCCTAGTGTTATCTACTGATAGTGTTCTTTAACCATGGAGTGGTTATAAAAGAGACAAAATTTTCTAAGTCAGAATTTTCTCTTAATGTATAGTGTGGAAATAGACTTATTCACAATTATTTCCTAATTATGTAAGAATTAGGAATACAAACAATATAGAAAGCAAAAACCAACATTAGGGGCCAGTGATTAAAAGCAGTTAAAACAAAAAATAGAGCAGTTGATGCTCTTACAGAAGATCCAAGTTTGGTTCCAAGCACTGACATGGACACCAAACACCAACTACTGCCTGTAACTACAGTTTTAGGGGTTCTGACTCCCCTCTTATGGCCTCCATTGGCACCTGGATTCCTGTGGTGCATATGCAGAAAGGCCAACACACACATACACACATAAATAAAAATAAGATAAATCAATATGTAATTTATATAATCATTAATCAGAACACAGTAATCTGTAATTGATAAAGAATTATTTTACCTTGGAAAAATGAAGAAAATACTAATTTGCAGTATAGTATTTGAAATGGATTCAATATGCTTGACTAAATTATTACCACGTAAAAACGTATAAACTCAGGTAGCATGTAACTTCAAGAGATAAGGAAAACTGATTCTAAGAAAATTTAAGAAGATTTGTCATAACAAAAGCTCCTTATATATTAATTATACATATATATGTGTACATAATGTGTATAATATATACATACATATATATGCATATATAGAGAGACAGAGGGAGAGGAGAGAAACATATAGTAAACATTTATTATTATAATAATTTCTTGGAAATAGTTATTCACTTTATATGTCTTCATACTTCCTACTTTATCAGTGTTATCAGTTATTAAGAAATTCATCATTAAGTGATGAATTGACTGAATGCCTATTGTAATTGAGTAGGTGCACTATCTTACAAGTATTTTTACTCAGACATTTTTTGGTTATGGCATTATTAAGGCATTATTAAATATGAGGAGAATTTATAACTCAGAGAAAACTAAATAACTTGACTAAACACAAACGCAACACAGTATACACTGGTTTGTACCTAATCCCTAGAGTTAAAAAAGTAACACATCCAAAAGAGTTCTCATTTCTGGCAATGAAGCCCATACTTATTTTAGCTATTTAACTTCTTTGAACATATTTTATTACTGTGTATATACAATATGCAGGAAATACACACATGTCATGATGGATGTACAGCCTTCAGGGGACCATTTTTATAAGGTTGGTGATTCTATCCTTCCAGCTTTTACCTGGAATCAGGGATTAAATTAAAATCTCTAGCCTAGTGAGGCAAGTATCTTTATGTGTTGAACTGCCTCACTGGCCTCACTGTATTTCTTAAGTTTTAAATCGTTTTATATGTCTATGTGTGGTTAGTAGACTATCAGAGTCAATATCTTTAGGTTAATGCTGGACATATAATTTATTGATAGAAATCATAACATGTCTGTCTGGTGAACACGCCATTTGAAGGATACTAGAGGGACAATTCACTTTGCACAAATTGTGGGCTTTGGTTTGTCTGCTGATAAAAGAGTAACTTATGCTAAAGCAGGCGCTGTAGAAATGTAAGGTATTGCAGTTAAGGATCCATTTGATAAAAGTTGGAAAATTCTTTACTTGTGTGTCTTAATTATTATAAAACAGACAAGGTTCCATCTAGTCTAGATAAAAAGTTATAAAAAGATTTTAGTCTTTTCTTTCCATGTTGGTGTAATATTTACTCTGGAAAGGTTTACTATAAATGTCATAGTGGCTTAATAATTATTTATTTCAGTTGGGTAATCAGACGTAAGATTGCCTCCATTTCATAATAGGTATAGTTTCTTTTAGGTAGCACAGATTTTTGGGGTTAGGGGCTGATTGATGGATAACAAAAGCATGAACTTCATTAGTTTTGTTATGTAGAAGACTTTCCTTAAAATTGTTTTAGTCCATTAATACCATCCCAGAATAATCTATAATTATATAATTATTACAAACATTAGTAATAATGTACCATCTCAATATGCTGAAGTATCTAGCCTGCATTCCCATAGTGTCACATCTGCAGTAGGAACCAGCCTTCAGCACTAACAAAATACTTTGAGTAAATTGTCTTGGTAAGTTCTTAATGGAGACTTTTCAAGTAGGCTGAAATAACTGTGGTTGTTCATCTTTGGACTGTTAAGTTTTCAGTTTCCAAAATAAATGTTTGATCCTCACAGAGAGAAGTTTGGGTCCCTGTTGATGGCCAAGTCTACCTAGCTTTTTTATAACTAACTCTTATGATGTCATGTCAACCACATTAAATAATGGAAATAATCACCAACTGTGACATTAGGAATGCTAATGACATGGCTATGCTAATCAGATGAATGTATTAAAATGAAATAAAAATGAAAAGTACTTTCTGAAGTGTGTATTAGATAAATGGATTTTTTGTTGTCAAATTTAAGCTTTTCAAAAGATTATCTCAGGGTATAAATATTAAGTATGTCTTGAGGGAGGATTATTACTAAGTAAAAAGTTACTGTTACTGTATCCTTGCATAAACTTGTGAGAAAGCCTTTCTAACTTGTTCTCTTAAATCTCATTAGACAGATGAGACAAAGAGACACATAAAATACACTTTGTGTTAAATTTGGCCAAGTTACATAAAATCTGAACTAACTTTTAAGTATGAAAAATTTGAAATAAAGGAAATTTTATAGAAGACAGCCTCATTTCTCTGCAGTAAAACTGTCCACTCTGATAGCCCTTTGAGAGATACCATTTTGTTCATAGACATCAAAATTGACCAAACTTGAGGCTGGAATGGCTTTGGTCCTTTGGTTTGATCTGGGGTGC